CTCGAACTAGTTACCCATTATTTTATCTTTTTATTGTCTTCATTTTCACAGATATACGTGCGTATATATTTCGTTGAAATATGACAGACAAGGAAAATTTGAGAAATTGAGTTTTTCTAGCATTCTTAATTTTTTTTTTTTCCACTTCTTGGGGGTAAGGGAGTGTAAAAAATGCCTGTAAGAGACTATTGTTCCAAGCACTTTCGTCCACTTCTTTAGCCTTTTTCAAGGGATTTGTTAATTGTTATTTAGCAACAAACCCCTTGAAAATGGCTAAATTGGCTTTTTTACACTCCTTTAGACCTCCACCAAACGGGTAAAAATTTAGGAATAACAGAAAAACTCAATAAAAAATTCATATATAAAATGCTTCGCAAAGAACTTTTTCAATGAAATGATAAATCTATAAATTACATAAAAAGAAAAAAATTATCGCATCAACGACAAATACACCATCACCTCATGATATAAAAGACTAACTTCTTGAGACAAGTATTTTCAAAGATGAATTACGTGTTTAAAACAATTTCATTATTAAATGTGGCCAATAAGTCTTTTTACCAAAAAAAAAAAAAAATTTGATTGACGTAATTGTTTACGTAGCTGTATTTACGTTGCATATGAGTGCTTCATACTCTTGAACAAATTGATATACTTCAAAAGGAAACAAGTAGAATATAAAATTCAAGGAATTTGTGGTAAAATCATGCTTTATCTCATCTCAGAATACCAGACAAAATATGAAAAATTCAGTTGTTCGTTATATAGCAAATGTGCAGAAAGGAATGACAAGGAAAATAATGAACCGTGCTAAGATAAACTCTGCCTCCGCAACTCCGGCTCGGATACTCCACAATAAACTCGGCCTTGTGCCGCATCCAACTGCGTGGGGCAGTAGGTGAATATCTTCACTCTGGTCTTCCACAGTTTGCTTAACAAACTCTGACTCCTGGCAGAGTGGAACCCAGACGAGGCTATGCCGAAAGGCAGAGTCTCCTCTGGGGTGATAGACAGCTACCCGACCCCGTTTTTACAGCGTCTACGGGGAATTTTTGCCCGAGCCTATTCTCTGTAGAGAGAAACCCAGACGTGGCTATGCCAAAGGACAGAGTCTCTTCTGGAGTGGTAGACAGCTACCCGACATCGTTTTTACGGGGTCTCCTGGGAATTTTTGGCCGAGGGTACGTGCTTGGATACCCCAAAATAAACTCGGCCTTCTGCCGCATCCAACCGCGTGGGGCGGTAGGTGAATATCTTCACTATGGTCTTCCCCAATGTGCTTGTCAAACTCTCTACCTCCGGGCAGAGTGGAACCCAGACGAGACTCTGCCCTTCGGCATAGCCTCGTCTGTGGTGGTAGACAGCTACCCGACCCCTTTTTTTAAGATAGATAGATAGATGTGCTTGTGTGTTATGGATATGGGTTGAATTGAGATTACCTTGAAATCATATGCGTTGTTTTTTTCCGACCATTTCTCACTCAATGATTAAAAAAATTCAAATCATTTGATTTTATGCAATTTTCACAGTTTACCGGCCTTTTGTTGGCAGTTCGGAATTTCACAGAAAATCCATGTTTTTTGTCATGATTTTCATGTTGCTTTTTTAAAAGTAGTGGAAAAGTGGATATAAACCTTTCAAGTAATATTTCTTGAATATTTGAATACTTGAAGTGTCTTTAATCATATAATTTCAGGTCAATAAGTGGTATTTTCTCCCTCTATATATGGCATTTTTTACACGTTATTTTGGAATCCGAAATTTTTGTGAGGGTTGGTGCACATGTATCTGATTTTCATCGTGTTTTCCCTTTTCTCATAATATTTCATTCTTTTAGATGAAAATATCAGCGTAACAAGTATAAAATTTATTACATATTAAGTACATGTAGCGTCTATTTTTGTCTCAATAACTGCGGCTATTCGGTGTGGCATAAATTCTAAAAGCGCTTGCATAGCTGCGTGAATATATCCATCAAGGCACGTTCCAGGGCTGACCTCAACAAAGATGTGTGTGTTAAGTATCGCAGCATGGAATGTAGTCCCTACATGCTCAATGGAGCCTAAATCTCGCAAATGCATGGGACAATAAATTACTTGCAAGCCAGCCGAGTTCTAATGGAATCAACTTTGTGCTATCAGCATACAATAAGAGATTTGTTGTCTTGATGGAACAAATCAATACAGCTGAAACACAAAAAATACAATAAAAACTTAACCAAAGTAACTTATCAGATATGTTTAATGAAATATATTTGTGATTGATTCATAAAAATCTATCTAATCTATCAATTTTTCCCCAAAGCAAATCAACAAATATTGCTAAGGATATACTTATGATAAATATACTATATGCATTTCAACCTATACTTCTTTTGACAAGAAACGTTTACAATAATTTATTTGGTGGTTTGAGATTTTATGTAAATCGGGAATTGTTTATCATATTATATATATATATATATATATATATATATATATATATATATATATATATATTTATTTAATTAGTTATGTCTATAAACTTTATTTAATTCCATGTCTATAAACATTACTTTGACGTCAGAAAGGTATAATGTTGTAACCTAGAGAAGGTTACTGAATAGAATAATCACACGAAGGTTGGTAATGAACGATAATGCTTAGGAAAATAACAATACATATAAGATTCGCCAGCGGCGCGTAAAAGAAGTAGTCAACTGCTAGAAGTGAGTCAAGTGAATTCCACAATGAATCCCCAACTGAAGAATATCCACCAACCGCCCCACGCAGTCAGATGTGGCACAAAGACGAATTTAATGTGGGGTATCCGAGCCAGTAGGCTCTACCAAAAATTCGCTGTAGACCCCGTAAAAAACGGGTTCGGATAGCTGTTTCCCGAAACGAGACTCTGCCCTTCGACAAAGCCTCGTCTAGAGATCCTCTCTCCCACTGAAGACCAACATACAGTATTTACTTCTGAATTTATGTGAATGGGGACATACCCATTATCGTCCGTAGGTTTGCTACAATACATAACTTCAAAAGGGAAACAGAATATTGTAAAGCAATTAAGTTATGAGAACAAAATATTTTGATCAGAGATCACAAAACAATCAAGAATGAAACTGAAGACATTGGCATGTTAATAACAATAAAAAATAATTTTAAGAATGTCTCAAAAATAAAAGTTTAGAAAAATTAAAACGATAGTGAGTTAGAAAAGTGTATTGACTAGCAACAAAATATTTTAAGAAGCTGGTTTTGTGAATGGAGAGAACAGACTCCGAATAATATGACTATGATTAAAAGAAATGTACAAGGTAACCAAAAGAGTTATGTCCGTTTTTAAAGGAAAAAAAAACGCTTCACAGTATGTGTAACTTATATTTAGTCTACGAAGTAATCGCCATCGGCATCCAGCACCTTCTGCCAACGTGTCTCCAGCTGTTCAATGCCCTTGCGGTAGAACTCGGGTAGGGGGGTAGGGTTGACGCAAAGAAGTCCGTGAGGGCTTTGCGCAAGTTTGCTTCATTGGTGAAGGATTTCCCACGAAGATGATTATCCAGGGAGCAGAAGAGGTGGTAATCAGATGGCGCAAGGTCAGGTGAATAAGGTAGATGGAACAAAGTCTCCCACCCAAGTTGCTGTATGGTATCCCTGACCACTCGCGCGACATGCGGCCTGGCGTTGTCATGGAGGAAAAGCACACCTTTGCGATTCACCAGTGCTGGCTCTTTCTGGCACAATGCCTGTTGCACACGTTTCAATTGCTGCGAGAATAGGTCTCCAGTGACCGTTTCGCCCGTTGGTAGCAGTTCATAATGAACCACTTGACGACCTGTCCACCAGACACAAAGCATAATCTTGCGTGGGTGCATAGGCGGTGTTGCGGTGTGAGGGACAGCCTCCTGAGGAGACAACCAATGTCTGGAACGCTTGGAAGTTTCGTACAGAACCCACTTTCCATCACTGGTAAGCACTCGATTGAATAAGGATGCGGTACGGTGGCGAGAAAGCAGCGATACGCAGGCTGCCACTCGTTGTTCCTTGTGGACCTCCAAAAGCGTTTGCGGAACCCACTTGCTCAGTTTGTACGTCTTACCTAGGCGGTGCAGGTGAAATCTAACTGTTTCATCAGAAACGTTGAACTGTCTAGCAAGTTCACCACACGTTAGACTACTGTCCTCTTCAATGGCCGCCTTCAGGACCGTCATTCAAAACCTGTGGTCGTCCACTGCGAGGCTCATCATGGAGAGATGAAATCTCCCGACTTGAATTTTCGAAACCAATGCCTTCATCCACAGCACTATCCTCAAACGCTTGACATATGCGGCGACTTGATGCAGCTGCTGATAAGCCCACTTTGAAGTCGTAAAGCAAACAGCCCCGAACGAGATCTCTAGACACTTCCGTCCTTTTCACAGCTGTCCGGCTTATAACTGATGACCGGGCACGGTGCGCGTGTTTTTTTATAACGTCTGATGTTCCTACTTCCGGCTGTCCGAATTTTCAAAACAATTGCTACACGCATTTTGTATATATTTCAACTTCATTCAATGACTAATCAAAAAACGGACAGAACTTTTGGGGTTACCTAGTAGAAGAGAGTGGAAAATACTTTTCCGTTATCTGAGAAGCAAAAAAAAAATTGTTGCACGTATTTTAAGATTTGAAACAGTGCAAAATTAACAAAAAATAAAAAGACTGATGAAGGTTATATTCTGTCAATGAGTCTATAAGATTAACGATTTTAAAATAATAATTTAATCCCGTAGATAGTGTTAATCGACTATATGTTTCTGTAACCTATATCTTTTCATAAATAAAAGGGTTTTTTGTCTTCATTGTCTTCATTTAAAACAGAAAATCCCATCTAACCAAGTTTTTATCAACAAATGAAACTGAAATTTACATGATATATTGTTTATATAAATAAACATATTCTAAAATTTTTACCAACATCGGTCGGTTAATAGAAATTGTCTTGTGAAAACATGAACTTGCATAATAAAATCTGACATTATAGATAGATAGATAGATAGATAGATAGATAGATAGATAGATAGATAGATAGATACTAATCGTTGTCACTTACAAGACACGCATTTATAATGTAGCATACAAGCTTAAAATGCTTTTAAAAATACTAATTCTCTTGGTGTTGCGGACCACGCATAAATTCATGGTATATTGAATGCCTTACAAATGTTACTTGAAATCATGCTTTTCTTTACAATACTTTTGAAAATATTCCGTTTTTTTAAATATTTCTTTGATTTCACCAGAAACCTTGTTATTAAAATGCAAATGACAAAAAAGGCTTGAGAGATTAAGTGTCTTTCAGTGTAAATTACGCACTTAATAAATAATAATAATTTATACCAACTTGAGCGCCAGGCTAGATTTGGACCTTATCCAGTAACAATCGAACACACTAACTAGTGAAAATAACCTTCTAATAAATGATCTATCGCAGGCGTTTTCTGGAAGCTCATGTGTTCAAATAGTTATTTACAAAGTTTAGTTTAGTTGAAGGCCACAACTATGGGATGCGCACAAATACAGTAAACTAAATTAAGTGTAATTTTATTTGGGGCTAAAAATGATTCTTAAAAATATTGGGTAGATATCAGTGGAAGACCAGTGGTTAAGACGGTGGAGAACTTGGTGAAGGGAATTAACAGGAGATAACTGATAACTGACATCCATTAGACATGGCAAGTGGAACTAGAACAGTCTACCCCAGTGAGCGAAATAAAGGGTTCAGTTCGACATTCCAACCACCTGAAGAAGGCCGGAGCGCACAACGTCCGAAACGTTGTAATAAATATGGCGACAAAGATGAGGACAATAGTCCGAATAATGTAAAGATAAGATATTGTTAGTGGGACAGATGCAAAGAATTAACGAGATGGTTTCTTGAATAATTTTCAAATGGAATGTAAAATACTCATCGTAGTGCACTTACTACCGTGCGATAATTACAAGTCATTTTTAAAGCAACTCACCCCAAGCAAGGCGGGAGTGTCACTAGCAAGCAAGAGGTTACAGAGGAATGGGAACAAGAGTAAAGAGGCGTGTTTGAGGAAAGGATACAGAGAAGAACAGGGAATAAGCTCAGAGTGCCAGATGTCGATTGACATTACACTTGAACATTTGAAGATTATAGTCACCGAGGAAGCAAAAAAGAGGGAGGAAGTTCCACAGACAAGTGCGAGAGAAGCTGTTTGAGTAGAATAGACGGTTACATTTAACCGTTTTGACAGTGAAAGGGCCCACCGAGATACCAGCCTGGTAGCTCGCTTAAATTCATGCAGTCTAGGAACCAGCGAAAGTCGCTCGTCAGAACAGTTGCCGTGAAAATAATTATAGAACAGACAGAGGGAAGCCAAGGCACGTCTGTGAGAAAGCGACTGTAGACTAGATGCCAGATCCAGACCTATCACATTGCATATTCGTCTCTGGAATTAAGATAGATAGATAGATAGATAGATAGATAGATAGATAGATAGATAATTTCAATCAGCATCTGTAGTCGTCGAAAATCATGCATATTTTGCCTTTCTAACATTTCCCTACATAGAGCGCCCCTCTATGTCTTGTATCATTATATAACACAAACTCAGCGCATTCTACTCCCTCTTCCATAAAGAATGACATAACTATTATTCTCTCGTACTTAAACGTACAATTAATATTTTAGTAATTTTAATAACAAACACTAATTTTCAATATATTTCAAATGTTAAAGTCTTAATCAGGAGGATAAAAAATATGTCCCAGTTGTTGCTTTTACAAAACTTAGTTTAATTTTGACAAAAGTCACCAAGTATAGAGCTTTCAGTGAGAATCGAGCCCACTATTAATGATTTGTTTTAAGTCCGGCGTGCTAATCCTTATACCGTGAAGAGGCGCCCGAAATTCTGTTCCAGTTGGTGGTTACATAACAGACACTTAGAGTTATGCCTCTCAACGAAATTTGAAACGAAAAGTTTCCTATTTAATTGCTTTGGCAGCCAATTGTTCTTGTGAATAGACGTTTTATTGTGTCAATATAGTCTCCATTCTTCCTGGGGCGATATATTTTCCACCATTATAATTTTGCTAAAGTTATTTGATTGGCTGTTGATATTGGATTCACGTCATACCTCGCAGAATTTTTACATCTACCAAGAAAAAAGATGAAAATGACATATTTGTAGCGTCAAATTCAGTAAACTTGCTTGCGGGACTGGTGAAGTAATATTAATGGCGGTGGTGATAGGTGACTGTCGTTATCCACTGACGTTCTGTTTAATATGGTACATGCTTGATGCTTGAGATTAACTGAGAATCTCTTCACTTGTTTGGTCATCATGAGTAGCTCATGGACATTGTTCGATGTGTGATTTTCCGTATCGTTCTTATCAATGGAAAAATATTATCAAAAGAATGAAATATCGAAAAAATTAAATGTATGTACAAATTAGCATGTATTTCCTACTTTTGACCGGGTAACGGCGGCTATGCGACATGGTATAAAGTTTCCGACATGCTATAGTCACTCTGTGGGTATATCTGTATATTGTGTTTGTTGAATGTAGCGACAGGAAAGTTAGCGTGGTCTACAACATGTCCCCTATATGCTCAACGGAGCTTAAATCCGGTGAGTGTGGCTTTCAGTGGATTACCTGGATGTCAATTTAATGTTTCTAGAACCAGTTGCATATCACCTGTGCACGATAAAGTATTGTTATCTTGCTAAACTAAACCATCACTACTGAGAAACATGGCGTGCATAAAGAAGTTCAAACATTCTCCAATAAGATAAAACTCCAGTTTCATTAGTAGTCATCAGTCAACAAAACGCATCCCACACTATTACAGAGTCACCACCCTTGTGTTCTGATAGACTGAGTCCATACACACGTTCAATTTCCTCGACACACACACTTGACCGTCTGCCTAGTTCAAATTATGGTTCATTTGACACGGAACCAATCTTTGATGATTAAATGGTCATGTTCACCGGTACAGTTGAGGCGCAGCAATCAATGACCATAATAATAAAATTGTTGGTAGACGATTACGAAATCACATGTAATTCATTGTAAGCTATACAATGCATTCGAACGTCCTTGAAGTTACCTTATAGATATTTATTATCTTTGGGACACTGCTACAATAGAGGAACACCGAATGGAAAAAAATAAGATTGAAAATGGATTAGTTTGTAAGATTAAACTGCTCAGAATTTTTTTAAATGGAATTTTTAATCCAAAATTATTCCTTATTACTATAAACGTTATTTTTAGTGAGTGCGCGTATACATTGAATAGTGCAATTTATTTCAAACATGCCATCCCAAAGTAGTGCTATTTAACCCCACCAAAAAATTTCGCCAGGTAGCAGAGATTTCTTTAAGGTAAGGCATAAATTTTTAAGTGAAAAAGAAGGTGTATGGCAAAAATTTGTTTGTGTTACTAAACCCTTAGGCCTACAAGATTTACAATAGAAAACTGAAAATGCATCGGTACTGCAAAAACGTCCTCTCAAAAATCTGAATAACGTATTAACAAATTTAATGCACTTTTAGAAAGCATTTACTTTTTTCTGATTTTTTTGTCCCGGTTTTAAGTTTTACAGTTTTTGACTAGTTAATTCTAGTTCCTTTTTCATTCGTTTGTCCACTTTAATATTATAGGTGTTTTAGTTTACTTAAAAAAAAAAAAGACAGTATTTCGCAAAAAAAAAAAAAAAAAAAGTTTTATTATTCTTTTTCGTTTATGTATCATTTCCCTTGAGGATTTAGACAGTAATGGCTCACCACAATTTCCTATCCCTTGTTACCCAAGTCATTTTGACTCTTTACCCTCTCTATTTGTATTTGTTCACAAAAATTCGTTCATTAGATTACTTGCTGTTTTCTTTCTGTTTCTCTTATCTGCAACATATCTTATAAGTCTCCAGACTCTTCATTATGTGTTCCATTATGTTTCACCTGTCTCTTTTTGATTCTATATACGTTTCATTGTTGATTCTATTTTCCTTAAAAAATCTTCGTTATTCACATGATCTGTCTATGGTATTCTTAGCATTCATCGATAGAACCACGTCTCTATCGCTTCAATCTTCAGCATTTATGAAGAGATTGGCCAGCATTCGCTGCCGTATAGAAGATTAAATAACATGTAGCCGTCGTACGCTTTTCTAACGAAATTTTCCTGTGTCTTATTACTTTGCTTAATTTTTGGAATACATTTTTCACTATTCCGCTGTGTCATCGGAATTTCTGTGTCACACATTCCGTTGTCAGTTATAATACTACCTAAATGGTTGAATATCTGTACCTGTTTCATTTTGACGTCCCCAATCCAGAGCTTATAACTTAGGTTATCCCATTTACTGACAACCAATATTTATTAATATACTCAGATATAAATACGACCAATATTTTTCAATAAACACAAGAATAAAAAATGACCAATGATAACAGAATAGGCATAGTACTCAATTTTAAACCATACCGTCAAAGAAGTCCGTGTTCACTAAGAGGTTGACCGGTGGCTACTCCTTCACACCGAATGCAAAAGCAAATAATCCCACATTAGCATCCGTTTTTGCAAGTGTAGGAAATATTCGTGATTCACCCAGTTATTTAAACAAATTCTCAAGAAAAGAGTTGATCGGTTTCTCACACATAGCGGACAGAATATAATGTCACTGTATCGTAAGTTAAATAAGTAGGATTTAAGTTTCGTGTTAGATCCACGCGTGTTAGCATTTAAACTACACGCCACCATTTCATTACATTACTTATAGAATCAAGTTTAAACTGAACCAATTTTCACCTTTATGCCCAAGAATAACTTTAAAAAAATACAGATTTTGACATGAAAAAATAACTAGTGTTGATACGTCGTAAAATGCAACCAAAACCCAACCCGTAATAAGAGCGACACGTAAAAATTTGTCAAGTCGAAACTGGAGTTCTATTTTCCTCTTTGAAAGCTCTTAGAAACATTAAAATAATATTAAAAAATACATAAGAAAAGGTAAAAAGAAGGGAATAATTTATATTGTAAAAGATTTTCCTAGGAATTGCTAAAAGTTCTCGGACCACCCTAATAACGACTAATTTTTAATTATCTTTTAAACAAAACATTTTTTTTTGTTCTCCGCTGCTTGCTCAGCCGCCATTGCCCATAGGAACCACTTCTTTCACCTATTTCGTAGCGACATGTCTAACTGCAATAGACGTCTCTTTGCCCCCGCCCGTAAAGAGTGTAAGCGTGTCCTCAACGAAGCTAAGTCAATATTTGTTGCTCGGATGAAGGAGCGTATTGCATCTCGCAAATTTGGCTCCAAAGATTATTGGCGGCTATGCAAGAGTGTCCTGAACAATAGAAAACCCTCCATACCTCCTCTATTCAACCAGTTCGAGGTCTTGACCTCCTCTACCGACAAGGCTGAATGCTTTGCTCGGAAATTCTCATTTAATTCAACGCTCGACTCCTCCGGTGTACCCATACCAGACTTCCCTCTAAGAACTGAGGCCCTATTGAGCGGCTTACACATAACCCCGTCATTGGTATTGGGCATTATCTCCAATTTAGACCCCCACAAGACTAGTGGTGGAGATGGCATACCAGCCATTGTCTTGAAGAAATGCGCGCCCTCTCTAAACTATATAATTACTGCCTCAAGGAATCCTGTTTTTCTGACTGATGGAAGTCCTCATCCATTGTTCATGTCTTTAAGAACTCTGGAGACCCCTCTAATTACCGTCCTAATAGTCTCCTACCCCTCTTCGGCAAAGTCTTCGAAGCCCTAATCAATACCGAAGTGGCTAACCACCTTACATCCCATGATCTGCTCTCAGACATCTCCAATGCGTTTGATAGGGTTTGGCATGCCGGCCTTCTTCGTAAGCTCCAGGGTTATGGTATTATAGGTCGATTGTTTGACCTAATACAATCATTCCTGTCAAACCGTGAATTGAAGGTCGTTCTCAACGGATTCTCCTCCAGTTCCTATCCCACGAACGCAGGTGTTCCCCAAGGCTCCATCCTTGGCCCCACTCTATTCCTTATTTTCATCAACGACCTTCCTGACGCCATAGATTCCCAAGTTGGCATCTATGCGGACGACACTAGAATTTACTCCTTCCTCAAAAACAAATCTAGTGTTGGTGACAAAACTAACCTGGCCGTGCGTCTTGAAATGGACCTCCAATCGGTTGTTAATTGGGGCAAGAATTGGCTGGTCAACTTTAACGCCTCAAAAACTAAACTACTCTCTATTAATCACCATAGAGTTCCTTTCCTTGCCCCTCCCCCATTAGAATGTCTGATAGTCAACTTCTTGAGAGCAACTCCCTGCGTCTGCTCGGTCTCACGTTGACTACTGACCTGAGATGGAACAAATACATTGAGTCAATTGCTTCTTCCACCGCGAGAGGAAAGTTGGCTCTCTGTGCCGCGCCAGAAAATTTTTCTCCCCGGAATCGATACTTCAAATATACAGATCAACCATTCGCCCTTGCATGGAGTATTGCTGCCATATATGGTCTGGGGCACCTTCTGTTTACCT